ATATATATATATATATATTAGTTAAAAAATGGTATTACATCTAAAAAAATAAAGGTATTACTTTTCTAGAAATGTGTCTAGGCAGAAGACTCACAGTATTGCAGACAGAATTCTTCCAATAAAAAAAATGAAGGGAGATGAACTGCCATAGAGGAACGAAGGTAAATTATATCAAACCAGTAGTGACTGAGTTTGCTTATCTGAAGTTGCCCTTCACTATAATTGATGAAAAATGTCTACTTATTCCTACTTAAAGTAAGAAAACGTAGTGTAAACTAATGTTTTTAACTGCATTCAGAGTAATGTAAAATTATTTTTACTGGCAGTAACATCAGTCTGTTTTCCAGGAGCAGTATGCTGCTGCAGGTGATCACGAGTGAAGTGAAGTCAGTGTAGGAGGCACCGACTGGTTTGTAGTGACCCTGAGGTTCATGCAGAAATCTTCAGTCCAAAGACGGTAGAGTCAGAGATGAAGCTATGACAAAAAATAACAGTCAGACAGACATAAATGGATATGAATCCGTGTAGCAACTATACTTCTGTTTAGTATGTGTCTAAATTCTGGGAATAAATCTCAATAAGAACATTGCCCCAGAACCCCAGAAATGATCTTTAATACAGTCTAGTTTTCACCCAAAATGCACAAAGTAATTCTTGATACATTCAACCGAGTTCTACACATTTCAATTTATGCTTTGAAAATGGTGTGGTTTATTAACATTTTATGTTATGGTGATGACAAATAAGCTCAAACCTTAGTATGAGTTTTATTTCATTGTAAAGTTGATGATCTCTTTAAGTTATCCGTAGATTCACTATTGTCATATATTAATCTAAAAATATAAAAACTGAATTTACATGTTTCTGTCATTGATTGCTTCCTTATTGACTCTTATTGACTCTTATTGAGTAAGGAAATAAATAATGGTACAAATAGGTTTGTTTGGCTATACCTCTTTCATGTAAAGTACGTGTTTGCATTAATTTAATTATTAGTTATTAATTAATAAAACTGCCTGAAAATAACAACTTTAGTAAATTATCATTTTTACATAACAAACGTGTGTTCAAGGACCCTGAGGCAGGGTCAGATACATTAGCCTGTGTGTGTGTGTCAAAAAAAACATGAAAACTAAAACAACTTGTCTGATGCAGGGAAAAGAGGAACACATCAATTATCAGCTGCTGTGGAGGAAACAGAGGTACCCACGCACAACCTACACTAACACGGAGAGACCATGTAAACTCACCACACACTGAAAGATGGAGCCGGGATCTACTAACTCCTGCTGCTAAAGTGAGTGTCCTAACGATATTTGCCACCGTGTGGCATAATAATGAATCTATTATAATTATATAATTCATCTTATGATGACTTTCCCTTAATGCCGGGGTGTCCACACTTTTTTGGCTTGGATGCTACTTTCCAAATGACATGGCTAAAATGATCTACCCACACTGAAAACTATAAATATATTTTTACTCACCTTTTTACATACATATCAATATATAATTATATATTCCTTTTCATATAAGTACTTAATCATAAGTACTTTAGGTTTATGATTAAATGGCATAATTAGCCCCAGTGATTAGCATCTAAAAATAAAACTACATCTATATATATATATATATATATATTTTTTTTTTTTTTTTACTGAATTGCTTTTCCGGCACTCCCTTTGTGATCTACTGGTAGATCCGAGCTGAACTGGATGGATAAAAACTCGTCCTCATAATCTTAATGTTAATCTTAATTTTAGAGAATAGACATTATTCATACACTATAATGAAAACAGGTTGTCAATGTTCCCACACAGGAATGCAAATATATACTCTGCCTCGATGCGATGTTGTGAGCACAAATTAGCGAGAATGCGTGTGAAGTCAAATACAAAAAAAAATGTTCTGTGGAATTGGTGAACAGAACCATGAGTCAAGCAGACCAACAATTCCAAATGATTGGACCATTAGGAGCTGGTTCTCTTCAAGAACTGGTTCTGGATTCTCATCCTTAATGTGATGCCATTACAGCTTAACAATTTTAAGTGTTACATAATGTTATAATCAGCTTACTCCACAGAGAAAACATTTCTGTACTCCACAGTGTTGAATCAGGGGAAACAAATAGCCTGTCCTGAGGGAAGAGAGAACACTGTTAGGTTTTGAGATTGGTCAGTCGGGACATTAGTGAATGTCAACCGCGGTTTGATCTAAACAATGGCTCTTTTACAGAATTACCCTAATTAGCAAGTCCATTAGTTTTAATTGGGAGTAATAGACAGTTAGATGTTATTTAGTAAAGAAAAACAAGCCAGAGGCAGGAGGTGTTTTATTACAGCTCTATATTTAGGTCATTCTGGAAGGTAAAGTATTTTTCCAGATCGCAGGCAAAATTACTCACCAGTGAACTCAGTTTCCAGACCTGCCACCCACCTAGAAAATAACACCCAGCAGGATTAATGCTTCATTTATGCCAATAAGTGGCCAGCAGTTACAACTTTGCTCTGATTTAGCTCATTTAGTTCATTCATTCATGTATTTTATAACAATATAGGTATAATGTCTATGATGTTGGTTAACTTTGTCATGATTAGAAACTTTTCCAAAGGATCTGTGTGAAGCCTCTGATTGAGGCAGCGATTCTGCATCTATTACTCTGATAGCATTTCAAAAGATAGATAGATAGATTGTTGTTATATATATATATATATATATATATATATATATATATACACATATACACATATATACATATATACATATATACGTATATGTATATATATATATATATATATATATATATATATATACACATATATGCTTCTTCTACTGCTACTTTTGGTTATCGGGGATTAAAAAAGGTGCTTCAGGTAGCATCACTTGACCCAATTTATAAGCTGCCATGGATGGCTAAATATATTTTATTTATTTATTTATTTATCTTTCTCCGTTTGAAAGTACTATTTAAAAAAATAAATGAACAACCCTTTTGTATATCTGTACAGCCAATGTCCTGGATTTGTTTGGACCTGTTTCTATCTATCTCTTCTAAGATTATGAAAAGATCCTGTTGTCTACTGAACTCCTGGTACCTTACCTTTTAGTTCCACCAGTACTTCTGTTAAAGGGATAATTGGCCAGGATGGACTCAGCCAACCCAAATATCCACTGCCAGGAAGTAATGTTACACCAACAAGAAGAACAAATTAATAAAGTATGAGAGGAACTGAAAGAAATGGTACTGAAACCTAAGACATTAATCACTGCCACATCTTTCAGCCACCTCCAGCTGATGTCAGGGGCGACGCCTGCTGCAACTCACCTATCAGTGCTGCTGCTGCATGTGCTGCTCCTCCGCTGCCACCTCCTGCTCTTTTAACCACACCAGAAGTTCTTTGGGAGTCTGGTGACTGTCATGAATTCTGACTCAAGGCGACCTTCATTTTCAGAAACAGACAGTGTCCTTCCCCAATGTCAGACCAACGTTGACTACATCTTTTCCTCCGTCTCAGATAAAGCAGTGGTGAGTGGAGCCTTCTGCCAAACATTAGACACTTCTGTAAGTCATTCACGCAGATATAAAAGATATGCTCGCCCCCTTGATCAGTCCAAGGAGTAAGTTGCTTTACTAATGCTTAGGTCGCCACGTACTGGAGACGTCTTATACCCAGAGGGTTGTGGGGCAGATAGATAGATAGAGTTTTACTACTTTTACTTTATTGATCCCAGATTGGGAAATTACAGTAAATGGTAAATTCAAACGTAATATGCATTGAAACATAAAATTAAAAACTATTAGGATTTATTTTGTTATATGGTACACATTTTGAATGGGTTTTTTTATTTATTTTATTTTTATTATTATATCTGTATCTCTTATTTCCTGTGAGCTAGTTTAATTATTTTGCTTTGCTTTTGTTCTTTATTTGTTGTTCACACACACACACACGAGTTTTGATAAAGTTAGTTTGATAAATTAGCCAGACTTTTAGCTGTACAATTAAATAAACTTATAAATCTAACAAAAATATTTAATAGCCCTATACAATGGGAAACCTAATATGCTCAGTCAATTTATAAAAATGACATTAAATCTACCTCAGTTTCTTCTTTCCCTCAATTTACTCACTGATGAGTAACATCTGTGTAACTTTAATTCTATATATATATATATATATATATATATACACTTAAATGATAAAAGTATATAGTATATTAAGCATTTATACTTAAATAGCATTTATACTTAAATACTACAATAGAAATTGCTCAGTCTGTTGGACTGTTGGACTTACATAATAATTGTAACTTGGAATTTTTATGAAATTGCTAAATGTGTGCTATTTTATCGATTTGCCTAACATATTTATGTTGAGGTTCTAAGTGGCAGCATTAAGTGGCAGCTAAATTACTGCCTCAGTGTGTTCTGTCTGCAGCTGTGTGTGCCAGAGCCGGGGTCTGCTCGGTCTAATGTGCTCTGATAGTCCCACACTAGGATTTCCTTTCACCAACACTGGGCTGCAGCTTGCTTGATCTGGCCCAGGCCTCAGTGCACTTATTCATCTAGCACCAACACCCCCTGAGCACATGTGTATGGGTGGGTATGTTTATGCATATGTAATGGTGTGTGTGCGTCAGTGTGTGAGCGCTGACCTCTGTGGTAATGACAGCCCACTGAAAGGGGACCTGTGGTGAGCCTGAGCAAGCCAGATCTATTCAAGATGCCTGCAATCAAGCGCTCTGGACCATGTCATTACCGGGGCTTTACTGGGACTGGCAAGGTTTGAGTTTGACTGCAGCACAGTTAGCACTCAGGGGAGTGTTTGGCCTCACTGATTAGGATTTAAAGTGAAAATGTCCTTATTCTCTCCATCAACATGCTATTTGTAGAACTCCTAGTTTGCACACCACATATTAAGATCAGTTGACTCAACAGTGAAAGCTGCAGGATGTTGCTGCTTTTGATGTTAACAGTGATAAACATTAAGCCCATTAAGCCATTAGCCATTCAGCTATACATTATCCAACAGAGCACGTTGGGTCATTAATAACCCATAAAAGTTCAGAATTGCTAAACATTTTGTTACATGAAGGAAAAGACTCAATTCATTCAGAGCACATTTTTCAGTCATGTTTTCTCTGTGCTGGATGTGGTTTGGGAAAAAAAACTTCTCACAGAACTCTTCAATCAGGAAAATGCTGAAAAAATAGTCTGTACGGCCAGTTGTTAAAAATTACATTTAAAATATATACATGTAATGTTTTTTTTTTCTCAAATCCTTCTGCCATGTGCTGGCCTGCATGTGTGAACAGTGTGCAGGCTAGCCTGTTGCCCTGTCTATATTATTACAGCTGTAAGTGTGCCAGCCAAAGGGACATTTGTCTGCAATTGACATGAGTTAGAATTGCTAACCCAACTCCCTCACAGCAAGCATAATGGTTTGTTTATTTTTGAAGTTTTTCTGGCTTTAAGCAAATCATTTGCTTAATGTCCGACTGAGTAGCTTCACAATTATGCCTAGCCAGGAGGTCCTAACCTCAGAGCTCTGGGAAATCCCACTTTTACACACTGTGGCCAAGGAGTTCTGCTGTTTGATGTAGATAATAGATCCATCCAGGTGCATGCATGATGTGTTCCCCTTTTTAAATCACTCTGGGGATTTCCTTCTTTTTTGTTTTAAAATAAAGAACCTAGAGAAAGAAAGGAACTTAGAAATTATGCCACAGTTGTTCTTAATTGCAGAATAACAAATAGCTAAAATAGTGAATAAAAAAGTCTTCTCTGTCCACCCTGACTGAAACAAGGATGTAGTAATGAAGATGATCAAACATAAATGATCACATTTGTTTACAGGTTATTCATATCAGTGTCTTCATGTCAGTGGGCTCTTTTTGTTTGTTGGTTTTGCTTGCTTGAAGACAAAATATTGACAACATTTGAAATAACCTGTTTGGGGGAGAAAATGCATCGCATTCACAAGACATTGATTTAAACTACCCTAAAACTGGTGTAATTTTAATTTGTTTGTCCACCTTAACCCCCGCCCCCTCCACTGCCTTTTGCAAGGATAATTAGTAGGTCCAATTGAAGGTATCTGCAAGTATTTACTTTCACAATTAAACTCAGTTGGATTGGTCCAGCATAAGGAGCACAACAAGGCAGTAAAACATTACTGCCAGCAGGCATGTGATCACATAAACTTAGCCAGAGAGATCTTTGCTTCCTTTGTTAGCTATCATTATGCCCTCAGTAAGCTGCATAAAGGCATGTCCATCCAACTGAGATCATTGCACTCCACAATTATCTGTCTAAGTGGCTATTATATGAGTGAACCAATCAGGACTTCTGACTGAATAAGTACTTTGTTAATATTTGGAGGAAGTACTGGAGGTCAAGGAGCTCTTAGTCGCTTGACCTTAAGGTCACAGGAACCTGAGCCACAGAGTGGCACATGGCATTGAAGGAGCCTGTAAAGATTTAGATATCAGTTACACAGCCCAGAGAAAGGCAATATCTGTGGGCAATCTGGATGGGAAGAAAAAGCAAAGGTTCAAAATAAACATTTCTTGTTTTACACAAAAGGGGCTGAAGCTACCTCACCAGTACAACAAACTAATGGAATTCCAGTCCTAAATGATGAAAAATTACAAACAGGTGACAACAGGTCTGCTGCTTAATGCACTGCTTGTTAGGTTTTGATTGTAAAAAGTGCACTTAATGATTCCACCATGAACAGTGTACGTCTAGCCTGGAATTGCCAACATTAAAATCCCTTAATTATTATTTTTTAAATGGTGAATGTAATTAATTATTTATTGTTTTATTTTTATTATAATTCATTTTGAAGAACAGATCTATTATATGTTCTAAGTACACAGTTACTGAGATTAACAGTAAAGTGCTCTAAAATCACAATATTAAAAAAAGTAAATAGAAAAACAAGGTAATTTTTGATTGACAGTAATTCTTTGTAAAATATAAAAACTGTTATTCTTACAATGGCTATGTTAAAGAATCATATTTCCTTGTAGAATTAACATACTGTTGTAATTTAAATCGAAAAAATATGTACTACAAAAAGCAATACAACTCGACAGTGCTAAAATTATTTTATTTTTATGTAACCCATTTATTACATAAAGAAACAGTAGAACATTCTAGAGAGAAGAATGTGTGTGAACGTATGTTAATAAGAAGGGTTTATAATGGGGGTAAACAAAGCGCAAAACTTATAATGGGCCTTATAGTTTTTTTAATGTTTCATGAAACTGTATTGCAGGGCAAACGGCGAGAGCTGAGCTTCATCCAATCAGAGAGTAGCAGAGTAACCAATGAACACCGGGAAAGAAGACCGGAGTTTGACGAACTTCACAGTGCCTAGCCACCAGTGTCGTTGTGTGCACCTGCTAGCTTGAAGCTAAAAAAAAGAAGAAGAACAAGAACAAGAACAAGAACAATTGGCTTGCCATCGTTGTACTGGTAGGCGACGTAACGGCAATAACGTACCTTTAAATGTGTGACCATTATTTGTCAGGAAAAGACTCGAGCGTGTTTTGCCATTTCCACTCTCCTGACGGGGTTGGTTGACGCTTGTTTGCTGGTCGGACTTGAACCCGGCCGTTTCTAAGTAATCTGTGCTGCGTCCTGTTTATATGAAGCACTGTTGAAAATGTAAACGTTTAGGCGCTGCAGTGTTTTTTTCAAATGCAGTTTTGTGCTGACTGAAAGCTAGCATGTTGCTAGCATAATTAGCGTTAGCATCGCAGGTGCTTAGCTTAGCATTACAGCTGTTCAGTATGTGTTTTTTCAAAGGGTTTTAGCTAAGGGTTTGTTGATAAGGAACCAGTACATGTCAAACAGGCCAGAGGATTGATGATTTATTTGAGCGTTGAGCTGACTTCAAACTTCAGACGTGTTTTGTTGATTCAACTTGTGTATTGGTTTTATAATTAACATAAAACTAAACTCATGCTGTTTTGTTCATGCTGTGGCGATGCAATGTTAACAGAAAAGTTTAAAAAGGGTTTTTTGTAAGATGGTAAATGTGCCTGTCTTTTCAGCAAAACACACTTTAGGGACTCACTAGAATTTGTCTTGTAAAACGTTAACATGGAATGTGAATCTGATGGGGAAGCAGCTTCTGAACAACATGAATACTGTTTATATTGAAGAAAAACAAAAATGTTCCAACAAGCTCTAACACAGTTAAAACTGATGAGGGAGATCTGAAAATGTAAAAGAGATGGTGCTTCTTTTACTGCAGGGAAAATGTCCACCTGGGGGTGGGAGGACAGATGGACCAAACTGAGTTGACCCCTCCACACATCAATGTTGTGTGTGATAAGTTATTATTTTGGTATTTTTTTATTCTCTCATTTCTAGTTGACTTTTTTTTCTTTTTCAACATTTCTTTTGTGTATTTGAACAAATGCATGCACAGTGCTTCAAAGTTAGGCTGAAGCAGATCACATGGTATTCTGAAAAGTCTCTGGAACAGTGTATTTTGATTCAATTTGGTTTAAATGATTGGTTTTGTTGTTTTCCTTTCAGAGGGATCCTGCTTTTCTTCAAGAAGGTTCATGAGTGTGGATGCAACTGTGGTAAATGACAACATCCCCTCACTCATTGCTGCCATGTCCATGATGTTAAGGTGATGTTCTACTCGCACTCACACTCACACTGAAGGATTACTTCAGATCATTACAATGTCTGTAGTATATTGTTACTGAGCTTTTTTTCCTCTTGTTTTTCTTGCATTTCCATGCTGGTAACCTGATTTTAAGGGCTTGCTTGATGACATTAATGCAACAATAATTATTGTTATAATATAACAATATTTTTTTTCTATTTCTCTATTTATGTTTTGTGTCTAACATGTAAGAAGGAAGTGCAACAGTAACAGCAGCAGTTTAAAGTTGTACAATTAACAGGTTGAAAAGTTATTTACATTTTCACTGTATTTTTACCGAATTGTTCTGGCCACGACAGATGCCTGTTTTTCCGTTAAAAAAAACAAACAATTACAGTCTAGTGTCACATAACTTATTATCTTAATTTGTCTTTTTGCCTCATTTTGCTATAACCCCTTAAGCACAAAGAAGACATTATTATTATTATTATTATTATCATTAGACAGGCCTCACCAATTCCAGTTCTTAAGTCTATGATAGAAACACATTTGTTTTCATTCACATTAACCACTTACTGAGTTGATGCACAATTTGCAGTGTTGGCTTGATTTCTGCCTATTTTATACCAGCTTTTTTATTTCCTCTCTACTGCACTTTGGCCGCATCGCTGTTGTTTTTAAAAGTGTTTTATGAATTACAATTGCTATTGTGATTGCATGATATAGTGGTGGTCATCCTGGCTTAAGCAGATGGTTGTCCTATGTGTGTGTGCATTGTGTTTTTTTTATCGGTATTAAGTTAACGGTCCCAATAATTAATTTTGAATTATGTGATGCGATGAGGACCGTTGACCCACCCAGGCTATACCATGCCAGTGTTTCTGTGTTGCAGTGAAAAAAACCAGCAGCCCTTACTTCATGCCTCGATGGTGCTGACTGTAATTATGCACTTATTTGGGTGGGCTCTAACTTGTCTCATGACAAGCACTTCCTTGATGGGTGCCAAAAATGGACGGTTTGATGTCTTCTAGTCAGAAATGTTAACCCTGCCAGAGGGTAAGAAAACACGGCAGCAGAAAACAGAATCTTTGTGTTTGTCTTGAATCGTGCTTGAGCTACACTTGCGCTTCAGCTCTGTGGTTTTCATACTGATGTCACATGGTGTTTTCTCTGAAAACTATTTGGGAAGTTTGAACTTCTCACTGTATTATAAAATTTGTTACAGAATTTCATTACTGTAGATCTTTAGGCCAGAAAACTGTCAGCTGTGAGACTAACTAAAAAAATAACTAAAAAAAAAAAATTTAAACAAAAGGCAGAAGTAAATGAAACTGAAGCTGTTTGGATGCATTTATAATTTATGAGAATGTGGAAAAACACTTAAAATAAGCATACACAGCATATACTCATATTTTTAAGTAATTTAATATAAAAAAAAACTTTAGTTTTAGAGGTCATTACCTTGTAGGAAGACTAGAAAAAGGAGACTATATTTTTAAACAAAAGCATAATTTCCCAAAACTCCACTCCTTCTTTTTCAAATTACTTTTTCAGGCCAGAACTGTGAAACAGTTCATATTTCATATTTGTAACAATACATGTAATGTATGTCACACTTCAGGTTCCTGCCATTGGCACAATTTCCACCTTTTCCACCTCGCTGTAGTTTTATCATCTGTGTGCAAAAGAAGCGCTACGTATTATTGCTAATATCTGCTCTTACTCAGGGGAGTGGCCGGGGAGGGGGACAAAGACGCTGAGAAATGGAGGAAAACATTTCCAAGTTGCATAACTGCAGAACGACACAAAGGCTAAGTTTAACCTGACATTCCTGAGTAATTTAGAAGTGTCTCATGTGGCCCATTTCTCTGGACTAATTTGGCCTCCCATAGAGAACTGTCAGGCATTGGAGACCAACCAAGGGCAGCCCATTCACATCTGTGAACGCTAAACATGTGCAGCACGGCCATGACTGCAGTCAGTCTGTAATACTCTGCAGACGTTGTTTTTTAATCCACTGACAATTAAATTGTGATCCCACTTGGCCTCTGTGGAAAAAAAAGTTTCAAAATAATTAATTAATGCTAAAATAATGACTTGAAAAAAAAAGATTAATTATTACTTACATTTCTGATCATACGTTGTCCTTTGTTAAGTATACAATAGTGTAGCAGGAGATTGAAGCATTACTTCAAGTTGTCAACATTTTCTTTTCCTATCGGCAAAGTGTAAAGTACTGTGCCCACTGGAACCTTGCGTTAATGTCTGTGTATGAAAATAATCCCGTGACTTGTTATCTGATTGTATTGTTGGCCAATTTTGGCCCCAATTCATGTTCTTGTGTTAACAATTAGCCAACAATAACAACTCACTTTGATGCTCATTAGGGGGGGAGGGGTCATGACCTTTAGCAGCCAAGTGGGTTTAAAAAAACTTTGCACAATCCCACCAACTCCCCAGCACACATTCACGTGCACAGACCTAATGGATAAATTAAACCCCAGGTTCATAACCTCATCACTGAATGCCTTTTTTTATTTTGGTTAAATCATTTATGTCAAGATTTTTCTTCCCTGTCACGATCAAAACTGCAGGACGAGAACGATCATCCATGACAGCCTCACATCATTTAGCAATTTAAACTAATCAGACTTCTGAGTGCCGCCTGTTATTATTGGAGACGTTCAGTGGAAACCCCACGACCATTTCCTAATCATCTCCTTCCTGATGCTTACTTTTACATGCAGCTCAGGCAGCTCAGCGTGCAGTCCTAAAGTTTTACGTCTATATTCCGAAGCTTTTGCTCGATTTTTCTTTTTGCTAAATCCATCTGGTGGAAAAGACCAAATGATTCCTTTAGCAATGTTTGATTTTCTATCATTAGCACATTTAAAGGACATGCATAAAATCAAATTGGAACTTACTTTTAAAATGGTTCTCTAATGTTAAAAGAGGTGAGGTTAAGCCTCACCTGCAGTGTTGACATTGTCAAAAACAACTGCAATAGAACTAAAAATGAAATTCAGTTAACCAAGATGCAGAACGCCAAAACTGAAACAGTAACAGTAGTAAACTACTAGCATTTCTTTTCTTTTCATTTCAGTTACTCCAGTCTGTACTTCCTATCAGCAGGGTTTTTGTTAAAACGGTGATAAAAAATCACATGCAGCCATTACAGTACTGCCAAATACAATAAATTGTTGAATTTACTACTTTAATAATAGTTACTTTAAATTTTTAGCAAATGGCCTAAACGTTAATATAATGCATATTTAAATTATAATTAAAAAATATAATTGAAATGAACTTGATGTATTAGAAATAATGGTACTGCAACAAATGATAATAAACAAAATATAGTTTATGTTTTTATTTCATTCTAGTATGCCTTTGAAACATTTGTTTATGTTGAAAAATACTCCATATTTAGCCACAGCTGAGAGGAAAAAAAAGTATTATATAAGCTGCTGCAGAACTGCACTGAATTTGATGTAATTTTGCTTCTGGTTTGGATATTGACTTACCTGGAATAGCTTCTACAGCTCATGGAGAAATGTTCTCACAGAGACAAAATGGAGACGTTCATCGTGTGGTTTGGATGGGTGTTGTACCATCAGCTGTTACATTGCCACGTGGGACAGTAACACATTACAAACGAGGGTTTCCACAGTAATTGTATTGCAAAAGTAAACAAGGCGGACAATCATATTATTCAACAACATGTTTGCACCTCAGAGCTTGCCATTTCTTTGTCTTAAAAACAGAATCATCTTAATACAAAAACATATAAATTCAAGTAAAAAAAATACTTACTAACACTGTAAAAAAAAAAATGCAAGGGAAGACGGCTACGACAGTTATTATTCATTGTCCTGGCACAGTGGATTCTTTAATATGTTTTACATACAAAAATAAACCACCAAGCAACAAACATGTTGTTCAAATGAAAGCGTGAAAATAAGAAATATGAACGACTGAAAGAATGTGAGCAGAGCTAGTTTTCAGCCTAAGAAGTGGGTGTGTTTTCTGTGAAATGCTGGTGAACAAAGACAGAGTACAGGAACAATGATGATGATCCACTGGACGTGTTTACTGTAACGTCATAATGACACTGACAACTGGTTAAGATGAGAAAAAAGTCAAATGTCCATTATGCTCTATCAGACCTGCAAGCAGTTATGCTGGCACACCCATATGTTATCTGAAATAAAAAGACAAATAAAATATCGGCAAAGTAATTGTACGTGTTAATGAAATATTCAAAACAATACGTGTTAAGAATTGTACAAGTATAAAGAGCTACAAACATTAATAAATTACATCACTGACACAAACACTTCACAAGGTGCTAGTAAAATAATTCCGAAAACCCTCTGGATATTTGTAGAGACTAGTGATAAAACCTTTAAGCTTCCTTTTAAACATTGGATATTAGCTTTCCTCAAAGCTTTGTGCCTTGATAAAAACAAGGGACAGCTTTTGACAAATGAACGTAAATACATTTTTCTTCATTTGTTTTCCAGGCAACATCTTTAAAACAGAAGGGGATGAAAATAAAAGGTAAAAATGAATTTGCTTAGCAACGAAATATGAACAGAAAAAAAAGCTCAATTATTAGGATTGTTTTAAGATACACACGTGTATGTGTGTATAATTCAATTCATTTATACAAAACTGAAAAATGATTTTAAATGTAACATTTAAAGCCTTAAGGTGAAAAGATACAGTTTGTTTATTTTGTATAAAGACATTAAATGCTGAGGGAAAAAAACTAGTTGTTGGTGCTGCCTGCAAAAGCAAAAGAAGACAGAGGCCCATGCCTGCAGATCTGGCGTTAATGAGGCTGATCGGTACCTGCAGGTCCTGTGTAGTGTGGGCACTCTGATACTCTGATACTACTACATCAGCAGGCCTCTGCAGGGTGTACAATACCAAAAAAGAAATGCAGAAAAAAAAAGTTCCGGCCACTAGGTACTTGTTGTTTGCTTTGTGCTTTACAATTGTTTCTCATTTCAACCAATGACTCCTCTAGAACAAATAAATATCAGCGTTGATAGTGCTCTGCAAATCTAAATGTTACATAAAGGGATAAATGCTCAATTTGTCTCCAATCTCGACTGTGCTCCAAAAATACACAGAAAGTCCTCCCCGGCAAAGGCTCTGCTCACCGCTCGTCAGTGTCTCAATGACTAGCTGCAACCATATAGAAGTCATTGTGTAATATATCCAAACGCAGGCAAAAACACAAATGCACTGAATACATGGATGGGATACTGTAAAAAGTTTTGGAATGACGCACCTCATGTCGAAGTGACCCCTGATAAACTTACACCTGTAGTACAATGAATGTTCTCTTAAAAAATATTTATAGTAGGTTCTGTACAATTAATATCTGAAAGTTATAAAGTATATGTGGAGGCAAAAACCTATATGACTGACGTTCTTTTCAATTGAAAAATGATTTTTCTTGTTTTCTTCTTCTGTCCATTGTCAGTTTTTTTCCCCTGTTGGATTCAGGGCGTTAACAGGGGCGAATTAGGACAAGAGCGAGTTCATCGATTCCCAATTCCACCAAAGTCCACTGCACACTACAGGAGCAGCTTTCCATTTCGATGGATCTTTAAAATCTTTCCAAGTCTTTGTTTGGCGGTGGCCATTCCTTTCTTTAGTCGCTTAGCTAGAAGGAGGAAGAACAAAGTAGAGGAGAGAGTGAGTTCATTCTGTTGACATTTTTGAAGAAATCACTCACAAAGTCTAATGAGCTCACCTTTGGCGTCTGCTAAGCCCAAACGCTCGCCTTTCGTAGTGCCACTGCTGTTGTTTTTTGTGGAGTTGTTGCTGTTGTAGGAGATGGAGATGGATTGTTGTCTCTGACTGAGGAAAACCCCTGGAGCCATAGGCTGTGGTCCTGGTGGGGACTTTGCCGTTCCAGTGGAGAATTCGTTGTTTGTCAGGCTGTAATCTTGGGTGTCCAGAGTGTGCTCCGGTGAGCTACTGTCCTGAAAGATTTTTTGGGGCTCCTTCAGTAGTGTTGGCTTCTTTTGGATGATTTTCTTTCTTTTCTTGGTCTTCTGTTGCTCCTCCTATTGGCAGAAAGAATTTGCTAGTCACACACTTAGAAATGTGTCAAGTAAAAACACAATGGGAATCAACACTAAATGAACAGCCTTTACCATGGTACTCTCTGTAATGGCAATTTCTTTATTTTTTATTTTATTAACTAATAATATTTACTATTTTATTACTTTTATTTTTATCAACTAATGATATTGTGTGACAGTCAAACTAGAATACATCATAATTTTCATATAACTTAAATGTTATTTATGTTTAATAACTAATTTTATAAAGTAAACTTATTTATTATATTGAATTTATCACCCAGTGAAGGGATAGATTTTGTGTTCCTTTCACATAATGTAAGAGTTATGGCTGATAGCTAAGAAAAAGCCTAAATTCAGTTTTTGTGTTTTAGCTTTAAACGCTCTCTCAGTGTAGTTCAATAGGGACAGCACTGATGTTAAGACTGTTGACTTGACAGATGTCCAGAAGACACTGATGGACCCTGTCTATGAGGGTGGTTAGCCAAAAGACCCCAGGAGGATCTGGCTGTTACACACAGGGCACAAAGACTGGTATGTACTGAAACACTATAATGGAAAGATAGGGAAAAAACACACAAGCAGCACATGTAGTTCTGGTCTACCTGAATTAGCAGTAATTTTTGTAGTGGTTCTGCTCACTGACTGTCTTCATCTAAATAGTTCCTACTCATGTACAGGAGATATTTCTTTAGGGTTTTCTTAAACTCTCAAACATAATTTATTTGGATTTCAAAATCACCAGTTAATCTGTAAGTAATTTTGCATTTGAAAAAAAAAATGCTTATCATCCAAACCAAAACTCATTAAACAGGTTATAACCCTTTGTTTAGAACAAGTGTGGAACAGACACCTGGTGTGAGAGCTTTGCTGCTGCAGCAGCCAGTCCTGTTTCTATGGAGGCGACTCGGGCTCCTTCTCTTGACGGCCTCTCTTGTCGAGGAACTGAAGGTCCAACACGCGCTACAATGAAGTTCAATAAATCCATTTTATGAAATTAATTGAAATCCTCAAGCTGATGCAGATCACTGAATTATGAATGTATGAAGCTACTTGCCTGTAGGACTGTAGGGAGTGTCGTCACTACTTTTCCGTTTTTTAGATCTGGACTTGAAAACAGGATTATCCTCTTCACACTCCAGTGATGGATAAACTGCACCAAGAGAACAGAAGACTTTGTTAGGAGACAATGTCTGATAATTGGAAAATTAAAGAAAAAAAAAAGAGCTGCCTCACAAAGAGACGATGTGGTTTTAAAAATGAACAGCAAAAAATGTCATAATTATCGTATAAATTGCAAGTTAAGAACATTTAAAGTGTGTTGATTATTGAGCTCTGCTGTTTTCAGTATTTGAACGACAAAAATAATTTTAGAATTTTTTTTTTTTTACAAAAACAATTTTAGAAATTATTTTTTTACAAAAACATTATCATATAAAGGTATATATGATAATGTTTTTGTAATATATTATCAACTCATCGGACAGGTTAAAAAAACATTTAGTTTTTAAAATTACTTTTCAATTAATTTTGTTTTGATCAATAGTATACAAATACAAAAGAGAGGACTTGGTCTGTACTTGCCATAATCCGAGTCTTTAAAACATGCATCCATGTGATCCTGGTCATCGTCATCATAATCCAGACTCTCAATGCTGCTGCTTTTCCTAGGTTTTCTAGGCGGTCGCTTGTTGGATTGTTTGCTGCTGTTGGTGCTCCCTCGGATGGCGCTAGTGGTGGTCCCCCCGCCGCTCTTCTTACTGACCTGCAAGCTGAGTGAGTTGCTTTTCAACTGCACATTGTTTTTGGACTGGCTGTTGCTCCACGGCTGCTGCAAGCTGTCGGACGATGAAAAGTTGGCCATTGACAGCATACCTTGAATGGCCTCCTGTGTACTGGGAGATGCAGGTGGCTGACTGTTAAGCACATCAATAAAATACACAAAAACAACACAGCCATTACTCAGCAGTCGACATGCTGGCAAGGAAGCAAAATGACTAAGAAATTAAACTGAATAAGATTTGGAGTCAAAATGTAAAACGTCAACAATTGTACTATTGACTATGATTAAGTTTTGAAAAATCTTGGATGAAAAATACACAATCTGAAAGTAAAAAAAAGTTCAAGTTTTAATTTTCTAAACACCTCTCTGTGGCAACTCTGAAATAATAATAATAATAATAAAGTTTCCCTCTTCAAAGCTTGAACAGTTTGAAAGATGAGTGAGTTTTGAGCCAGTGTTAGACTAATTTGTATCTTTCAGGGTAGTGGAAATAGACCATCAAGAGCTGAAAATAACAGCAGCAGAAAGAACCAGGTCAAGGGGGAAGCCTAGAGCCACGCAGCTTTAACGTGGAAGAAAATAAACCGACTTCATACAAACTGGTGACAGATTTGTCTTCTAATCGTTGAAACATTTTCAGCAAAGTTAAGAAACTGGGCTTTTTAATGTTATGTTAACATAATGAGAGCCATTTGCTTGTCAGCACTTAGCCCCATGAGTGTGTACAAACCTACAATTTATTTACAGAGAGAAAACTGGTCCACTGAGTGCCAGTCACAGAGCATGGGGCCGAGTGAAGTCGCTAATGGTTGTTGAGGACAAGAATGGAGTGTGACAAACTGTGGAGTCAGTTTACCTATTAGCACTGTAGTCGATACCACCCACTTGCTTGCTCGCTTGCAGTAGGTCAAGAATCCCTGCAGCACTCCTGCCCTTTTTTTTGACCTTGGTGTTGCGACTTTTGACATCAGGCTTGGCCTCTGTGTCTATGTGCAGAGTCTCCTCATCTGAGGAGTCAGCCCTCTGATTGTAGAGAAACAACATGATTAGAGAAACAATAGCAAGAGCCTCAGGACATTAAAGCATTGAAGATTAGATTTCTTTGTGCATTTAGTGAAACAATGAAGCCCAACTATCTTAGTGTTATTTAAAGAAGGGGGCGTGACCCAGCAGTAAACCCTGTGCTAACTTTTCTGCGAGTTCCAATATGAAGTTCTGCATTAGATGATATTAAGTCAGAACAAAATGAAGACGAGGGCTCAGCTTCCCTGACAGTGATGTGTTTGGGGTCATTAATCCAATTCCAGTCTAGAATAATTATTCAAATGGAATTAAAGCCAATTGGAGCAAAACTTTAAATGGTTTAATATGACAAAAAGGTCCCTTTACAAAAAAAGTAATGTTTATATATTATTAAAAAATATATATTGTTCATATTGTTATTGATTGTGTAGTAAACATTCAGCAGCAGTCACAATCACGACAAAAGGCGATAACGTTACTGAGTGGAAGGAACATTTACACATGAACACGCTAATCATTGATAAAAACATGAGCAGAGAATCCCTGTACAGTCCCTCCTGGAGGATAGAACTGCTGCTCTGTGTAACTCCCCGCCTCCTCCTCTGGCTCAGAGTGGACACAGGTGCATACACACACAGAAGCCAACTCTTATTGTTGTTACTCTTACACAGAATTTATTTGAGATCTTTCACATACTTGAAATTGTTTGTTTATCTTAAAGTAAGCATCCATTCCTTGGGAAGTTGTGGTGCTGCTGTTACCCTTCAGCTGAGTCTGTTGAGCTGTTTAAAATTGTTACTTAATGACAAACAATTTAATTTATTTTTTTTCATTTCTTTCCATGTCAAAATATACTGCACTTCTTGTCCAATTAAGACAAGTTTTCACATTGGAGTAAACCTTTAACACGGAGCCTTCAGGAGCAGCAACAGCTATGAAACAGTTCACCTCACCATGCAGGGACACAAAACATACAAAGACAGAACTAAAGCCATCAAGGTCGTACCAGATGAATATGATACATACCTTAGTCACCGAGGGCTGTAATTTTGTTTTTTTGGCTGCTTCAATTGGTTCTCTGAGATCCTCCAAAACTGTGGATAAAAAGTAATTTTATAAATGAGCAACTGTGCAACATCTACACAGTCTGAACATGACTTGACTTTAAAACTAGGGCTGTAAATCGCTTAAAACTGTTAATCAAATTAATCACAGGGTAGTTGTGGATTAATCCTGATGAATCAAGATCATTTGCTGTTTATTGTTAGAACAGAAGCCAATAATAACAGCAGGTAGATGTGTGTTTCATATCGGTTTAGATCTGTGATGAATCCAAAAGGATGGAATTATTAATATGGAAAAAAGTCAATAAAATTATGCAAGTCTAACTTAAATAACTCTGAGTTGATGGACTTAGTCTTGCATCTTAACAGTGTCTTGGAGTTGCTTCAAAAACTTTGGTGACAAAACTTTGTATCAGCAGTAGACTTTACTGCTTTGTGCTCACGTCAGGTCTGATGTTTCTGCTGAAGCTCCCGCAGGTATATGAATCATAACGCGTGTATCGACTATGTATGAGAGCAACAGTAAGCGACTAATGCGTTTATTTTGACAGCCATAATTTAACATGAGTCTAAGCTATGACACAATACACGTGAAGTAAAATAAAGATGGTTGAACACTCACAAGAAAGATCTCTTTTTACTGTGTTTTTTTTCCGCCTGATGGGGAATTCATCGATCTTCAGCTCTCCCTCGTCTGACACATACTCATACTCGTCTCTCACTGGCTTGCTTTTGTCCTCTTTCAGGGTTTGTAATGATCCAAAACCACTCGGAGGTTTTATCGTCTTGGATCTGCAAAGAAACATCACGGGACAATCACTGATTGATGTGAGGCTAAGAGTCAGAAATCCTGGAGGCAGTAATAGAGGCAGAGCTCCATCATCACTAGAAGTCTCCACACCACACAGTTCACATGCTTTTAATACATACCCAAGCATTTTCTTTTGAGACATAGTAAAACTGAATTTGTCTTTGTTAGCGGACAGAGGTGTTTTGTCAAACTTGCACTCTTCTTCCATTTTGAGCAGAGAGTCAGGTTTACTATTCTGTGAAGTCAGAGAGGAAATAGTGTCAAACAATTTAAAGAAAGAGAAACCCTAACAACCACCACATAAAACAAATAGCATTACTTCTATTATTCTTTTTTTAACTTCTAAAAGTTAAAGTTAATTACTTTAGGCCCTCTAATGTGCCTTAAACTCAATTTTGAAGTAATTACTTATAAACCCTCAAATCCCAATAGTATATTTTCACTATTTATTTCAGCAAATAAATTAATAAAATATCAGACCGTGCCAGAAGAAACCACTCACCTTATACTTCCACCGTGCTTCAGTCTTGTTTTTATTCTGCTCCCGGACTTCAAATTTCTCCTTGTTGTTCTGCTTGGATGTTTCCTTCTCTGACACAGTCAGTGCATTCTTCACAGCCTGAAAAGTTATTTTAATTTGATTATCTGCTGGAAAGGTTAGAAACACTAGACTATGCAAAATGAACCATCTGCTCACCTTCATCTTTTTCGGCTGCTCCATTTTACCTAATATATCTTTTGCATGAGATTCAAGGGCAGCGAAGCTGGAGGGTTTAAGAGGCGTTGGCGGCTCCTTTGCCTTTTTCAGTTTTTTATGTCCCCCTTCCTTGACCTTAGATACCTTTGGTGCCTTAGAGGTTTTGAGCGTCTTGGAGGGTTTGGGAGGCTCAGGGTTTTTGGATGACTTCTTTTTTACTTTCTGTTGGCAGGGCGATGACACGTGGGCAGGAGAAATGGGTTCCTCAGGCTCAGAGTGGGTGGATGGCAGTTCCTCAGCAGGCACCCTTATGTTCGGCTCACTCTTAAAGGCTTTTGTCGCATTCTACATGTAAGTAGAGAGATACATAAAGCTGGTATTTTGTCTATGGCAGTGGTTCTCAAACTGTGGTACGTGGGGGAAATTCATATTTTTACATTTACATTTTAAATTGAATAAACCTGAAACATACCATGTACAATTAATACAACATATAAACATCTCTCCTGTGGTGGAAGCTAACAGGGAAGGCCTAGGCTGCTATATTCAAATGTTGGTCATCATGGTGGTACTCAGAGAGATCAATGTATGAGTATAAAAAGTTGGAGAACCACTGGTCTGTGGTGTTTGGAAATTATTACATTAGCTGCAGAAGATCAGACAGGTGGAGAAAGCCAATTTAGAATGAATTAATCCTGTAGCAGAGTATATGTTCAGGTGTTGTGTGTTCCAGTTAGATGGCTGGCATTAGAATTCTGATCAAACTTCACAATAACACCTGCTTCTAACTGGCACTTAATCATCCTTGAGATATTATATATATATACAGTTCTTCGTTGTCCAGAAGAGGGGTTTAGAAAATACCTCTGATAATCTGATCTCTTTTGCAAGATCCTTGATGAGCTGCGAAGGTTTCATGTTTTCTGGAAGCTCATCTTCGTGTTCCAGGAGGGCCTGTCATGAGAATAACAGATGTCAATCCCAATGTCACAACAAATATACCTAACAGAGAAGTTTATCCTCATGTCCATACCTGCTTTTTAGTCCAAGCTCTAAAGGCTCCATTAATTATTTTGGCACCATGTATCAGATACGGAGCTGGTTGCTTATTTGCTTTATGTAAACCTGAAGAAGATGAAGAAATCAAAGGTGTTATTATATATATATATATAAATGCTTTGTGCAAATAGCTTTAGTCTACTACAGTTGTAAACACCCCTAATACTATTTAATATTATAATATATGAAGACACATCAGCCAAAGTGGTTTTCAAACTGTTGCAATTACCTACTGGCCTGCGAACATAGTATGACTGTATCTTTGGCTCGGGTTTCACATATCTGTCTGGAATATGATTCTTTACACAGACTTCATCCTTGAATACACAAGCTATACTGACACTGATTTTCTCTTCTTTTTAGTTGCAAATTGTCAAAGAAAGATTTTGAGCAAAAAAAGAAGAAAAAACCTGTAATGAAGACTGACTTTAATGCCCTGTAAAAATGACTTAAAAAAGAGGGAACAGCTCTATGTTAACAGAACAACTTTTGATATAATGAGCCCAATAGTAATGAACATACTTTTTAAAAAATAGTGGAACATAAGGAGTTGGCTCAGACCAGAGGAGAGGAGATTAAACGCATGTCTTCAATAAAGGACATAACTCCAGCTAGGCAAAATCTTTTGAAGCTAATCATCCATGAACCCAGTGATTTACCTATTTAATGGCTGAAATATTTGAGCCTCCAGCTCCTCATCTGTGCTGCAGACGTGCAGCGCGGTGCTTGTACAGCTCAAACACATTTACGAAACTGTTTATTTATTCTCTGCTCTTTTGCATTCTTTTGGGCAAATTATAATTCAAAAGAGGAAAAGAGTTTACATGAAAAATACAGTTGGAAAGGATGAACGTTGGATCTGTGAGGACATGAAAGGGATTCGGAATTCACCTTTAAATCGTTCTAGAAGATGCCGGCCCACATACCAGCACGCCGTTTCAAAGTTAGGGAAGGGATTTAGCATTTCGACCTTGAGCCTTTTTTCAATTTCATACGCTCTGAGGGAAGAAAGCAGGAACATTTAGCTTCACACAACATGTACGTGTTTTTGTTTTTTTGTAAGACATTATTTTTCTTCATTCCCTTCAGGCATTTCATCAACAACAAATCATTTGCCTTAATCTCATTCTATCCCTTGATTATTCCAATGTTACATTAACTATCTCCATGTTCACCACATCCTGAATCACATCCTTAAATTTTAAAACTACCTATTTGCCTAGCAACTAATCTACAACAGTTTTGTCCAATTTATCCACAATTATCTCTAACCCCCCCGTCCATAACTGTCCTTCTGATCTGCTCATTTCTAATCCTGTCCATCTGAGTCCATTTTCACTCCTTACTGTTGTATCTTTCACCTTCCCCACTCTTGTTTATACACATTCCTGCACTTGCTGAACTTTATTTGTCTCCAATCTTAAGTAAACTTCATTTTTCTTTTTTTGGCCAGCTCCCGACTCTCAACTTGTCCATTGCCTTAGGAAGGAAAACGAGCCTCAGAGCTGGTTCGTGACACAACATCTAACCTGTCTCACTGAACTTATACATACTGGCACGACCCTTCTACTCTGCCACTCCTAACTTCCTTCTACAGTGCCTGTGACTTTCAAGGTAAACTATGAGCTGAGTTAAAGCAAAAACAGATCTGCAGTACTCTGCAGTATGTAGTGCTGCACAATTTGTTCAAATACAATTGTGATGTCACACTGTGTAATTACTTCACTGCATTAGCTGCTGCTGTTCCAATTTAATTATCATAAATGCAATTATTGCTAGCCTCTTGGGAGTTGTGCTGCAGAAGAGAAACGCGTTATATGGTACTGTACTCAAGGGCGTGTACTCTGATCTGTCACTTTTGTTTAGTATATCTATCATCTTGTCAGTGGTTATGGTCCTTCTCTGCTGGCCCAGACAGTACCAGAATCAGTGAGTTCTTTTTCAACAGATTTGTCATATTTATAAAACAATACCAAATAGTCTGCTCTTATCATTTAATAGCTTTTCTCTTGCGTCCGTTGTGTGTATTTATACTATTTTTTTATCCAATGATTTTTCAGATATCATCTGGTGCCAGGGTGAATAAAAAAATCTCCCTTGGGACATTCAGAATCAGCAGTGTGGTTACAGGACGCCTTAAATAGTTAATTAGTTAACCAATAATTTTGGTTAAGGAATTGTGAAATTTTGAGTTGTCAACACCAATGCTTTCTAGCCTCCAATCTAGCAAAATGTATTTAGCAACTTGACAAGGACAGACATTCATACACACTGAGATACACATTTGATTAGGGGTTGGTATAGTGTTTACTTTTTATATTGTTATTGTTATTATTTCTATTTGTGCTGCTAATTGTTTATTTTTTTTAAACCTGCTTTTTGCCCAATCAGGTTGCAGCTCCCATGTCATTGTCTGTCTTCAATGTCATGTGATTCTTGATTCCACTGTATTCCAGCAGTCTAATCTTACCCTGTAATGAGCCAAACCACCGTTATGTTGTATGTAAACTTCATAAGGAAGTTGTTTACATGGGTGGGGGTGCAGTCATGAGTACAGTAGTGCAGTGATTCCCTACCACTATGGTGTGGAGTTTATGTGTTACAGCTGTTACGCACATAATTCCTATAAATAGGAAACTGGTCCACTCACCCTCCAATACTCATTCCAAACTCCTCGGCACACTCTCTTCACTCACTAGTACATCTAACAAACCTAACATCATGAATGTTCTCGATCATTTTGTTTGTGTCACAGGAACAAATCCTTCTACCCTTCCTTACTATTCAACTATTTTTGTCTACTGTTCCCAGCTCCTGGACTTTAAGACTTGTTCTTCACTGCCCTCTTCTGGATGAGTTCCTGGACTTCTGTATTTCACCACCACCTTCCTTGTAAGCTGTGCTCTGACCAAACCTCACACTTAAAACAGGTATTTCCCTTACCCCATTAATTTCAGAAGCACATCCTAAAGTTAGAGCTTGAGCCCATGATTGTGTCTGAAACTGTATTCTTGTTCAAAACATTCTCAACAAACTTCTTCAAGATGATCCATACCCTATTTCTCCTTTTATGGTAAACAAATTGAACCAAACTCAAACACTTCCTTTTAACTGGTCTCCTAAACACAAACTTACAGAATACCAATGTACAGACTTCTAGAAGTTCAAAAATGAACTGAAAGCTGTTTCTGAAATTATAAATACAAATGAATATTATGAATTACTGTGTTTAAAAAGAAGGCAAACGTTTTTCAAACCTCATCTGCATCTCCACGCTTAGATTGTGGACGAAGTGTCCAGAGAACGCCAGGCAGTCAACTGGGGTTAGTATTGCGTTAATCCAACCTGTAATGAAGCCATGATACAATGATGACAATAGAGGGTGGAAAAAAAAACATTTTCCTTATGCTAATTTACCTAAAGATAAAATACTAATCTACATGCAAATACACACACACACACAACCTGGGATCAATATACTTTAAATTATTATTATTATTACGATATATGCTACATTAAAGGACAGGAAGCAGTTTGGACCTGATGGAATGAAGAGTGTCTGGCCTTGTTTAAGTGTGCATTTGTAACACTTGTCCACTTGGTCAGCAAAAAACATCTCGCTGTGACTGGATGACGACCTCCAGCGCTCATACAAAGAAAGGTTGGCGGATGTGGGCTTGATGAGAAAGAATATCTTTTCCCCCTACAAAGACAGGTTCAATCAGATCTTCTGCTAACTTCATCATCATCTAGGATTTTATGTTTTACACGTTCTCTTTTGACAGCCAGTCAAAAAGCAAAAAACAAGTAAAATCTGTTAAGTATAAACAATGTTTTTGAGATAAAAGACAGATAGTTGAACGCGCAATTTTGTATAATAGGCCAAAACTAATGAAAGTGTTAGTTTGTTGTCTTACCTTGAGGACGTGGTACCAGACAGACGCACCACCACATTCAATGTGGAAGTCAGTGTAACTGTCTTTGACACAGATGAGACAATATTTGGTGACCTTTGGTTTTCCTAGTAAAGCATCATCTGGCCAGTAGTTTTCAACCCAAGACAACTGCCTTACAATCTGTGGACTCTCCACAATACTGTTCATTCTGAGAGAGCGAGAGAGAAGACAGTTATCTCTTTAGGTCAAATCTAATTCTTAAAAACACCAATGACACATTAACACGGTGCCTACCGTGATTCAGAGAACTCCAGGTTGATCACATTCAACACTTTTTTCCTGTTTGTGCTGTAGTAATAATCAACAAACTCTTTGAGCTTCATTTTGCTGTCAGTTTGTTTAGTGACATCAACAACATCCACAATAACGTCGGGCCCTAGGAAAAAAAAAAAAAATTAGACAGGTTGAATAAATACTAGCTTTACATGGTGAAGTGAAACCTAAACACTATTCACCAGCAGGTTACCAGGAGAATAAATGGTCTGCAGCTAAAAACAAAAAACAACTACAACTTTTTACTTGATGTGTGTATAGCAAAATGTAGCAATGTTACACTGAATTGCTGAAATAAATTCACATTTCTATTTTTATTACTAACAATATTAGTAATATTATCATTAGTTACAGAATCACCAAGTCATGTAGTCATGCAAAACACACTATCTAGTAACAATAACAGCAGTAGTGATTATCTGTGCAAATATATGTTTCTGATAGTACGGGTTCTGTAAAAGTAGGGAAGTATTCCAAGTTAAAAAAAACAAGAGAAATGTGTGTATAATTGCAATGGTATTACACCTATAATAATTGTAGCAACTATCATACCTGATGATTATTAGTTTGCTGCATTAGTTATATTAAATCAGTGGTTATAATAATTGAAGTAAAGTTGTAATAGCTGCAGAAAAAAATAGCTTTAAGAGATGATCAGGTGAGTACAAGTTGCTGTGATGGTTACCAGTTACGGCAGCAGAAGTGGTAATAACATGGGGTTAACTCCTGCAGCAGCAGTTCCAGACTGTTAGCTGGAGATACCAATTGTTTAACTAGAAAGAAGACTGCATGTGTTGGTCATATTTTAGGGGAAGTTGTTGCAGTAGTGGTGAGTACCAGCGTGGTAATAGTAGTAGTACAAGATGAACAATAAGATGACAGTACTGGTACAATTAACAGTTCCTTACCAACATTGTTCTCCACATCACTGATGTAGAAGGTGGGGGCAGGCATGGACATACCCAGACCATCTTTCTTCTGAACTAGGATTGGTTCATTAAAACCATTGGCCTCCAGGTAATCCATATTTAACTGAGTGCCACTCAGTTTTACCACCACATCATCAGCACTGTAAACGCACAGAGTGAAAAATGCCATGTCAGTAAGTGCAACCAGGAACTAAAATATCTAGTCCTGTGTCTGAGTCTGAGACCAGACATTAAAAGTTGTAAATCAGTGCCCTCTACTGGGAATAATAACAAAGTGAGGAACTACTGTACAATGACAAGACTATTTCTTAAAATAATAACATTTAAGGGACATAAATTATGTGAAGTATCACTTACTTTTCTTATTAGTTATTTTTTTGTGTTAAGTTTCTTGAGTTAAGTAATGTTTGTTGAGCTTTTTGATTATTTTTAATGTGCCACATACCAATTAAATAAAACAAATGTAAACAAATGTATATGGAAATGACATTTAATTGAATTTGTCAAGTCTAATCCTAACACAATTCCACAAACACCAACATAAGGGCTATGTGTATTCATACTGAATCGTTCAGTAAAAATACACTGGGCATGATCGCAGACATGTACCGAACACATTTCCATTACATGTAGGTAATTATGATTTTAAATTGTCTTAGTTGAAACTCTGAGTGGAACAACTTCCCAAACTGCTGCTCAAGTCATTCAGTAGCTTTGAGTAATTTTACATCACTAAGCAGTTGTGTGGTAAAAACGAAGCGATGCGCTGGTCCTAATGGCAGCAGCACACACCTCAGGAGACACTGGGCAAGTCTTCAGGCCCACTTTGACTAATACTGTGAGTGAGCAGAGCTGTCACTGTCACTAGGCTTACAAGTGTTGCCTGCGAATGTGGCTTTTAGTAAATGAGATGACAGCAAACAGTAAGAAGTAATCAAGAAAAGTTCAAAGTAATTATATTTACCTTGGAAATGTCCGACTACGAAGTTCCTTGATGAAAACCTGACTGCCATTTTGAACAGCTTTGGTATTTGTGCCTTGTCCTGTGTCATATTTGCTCCAGTTCTTTTTCTTTTTTACTGAGGAACAGAAAAGAAAAACAATCTTACACAATACCCTGATGCAAACATTTTGTTCCACATACAAATATTTGTAATGATGACAGAATTGCAGGGATAATGAAGCAGAAATACAATCATTTTTGTTCAGAACCCAAACATCAGGGGAAAAAATGTTAGTGTTTCACAGTTAATACACAGCCTTTTCCAACTGTCTTGGTAA